ACAATAAGTTCAAAACTTTCAATCTATTATCACTGGTTATCAAAATGAATTACGAGATACCATCCAAGGGTCCCTCAAGACAGCTTCCTATGTTCATCACATACATTCAACCGTTGAGAGACCCATAAGTTACATTGAACGTATAAACAGGTATCGTTATTTAAGGGTTCTTGTTCATAAATTTTACACTTGTTGGGCTGTAGTATTTTGGTCAATATACGAAGGTCCCAAATGCGTAGCGGCCTGTTGTACCGAGGTTTAACTGTTTCAATACAGTTTGAGACTGTTATGTGAATCGCCTACACTCATTTCATTGCAGGTTCGTTATGAAGGAAAACGCCCCAAGACAAAAATGGATTTGAGAGTAAGAATGTACGACGATGAAGTCAAGGTATAAACTTTTCATTTATCATTAATTGATGAATTATTCGGTAGTAAATAAGTCAGTTGTTAACTGATGAATTATTCTGTAGTAAATTAGTCAGTTGTCAATTGTTAAATTACACTGTAGTAAATTAGTCAGTTAGACAAGTAATGTAAAAGCGACGAGGTCACACCATTTTGTCATTGCGCCCCTTTTTTTTCGTTCTTTGAATATTATCTCGTTTGTAATAAACCTGTTTCGCTTTTCCTTGTAGCAATGGATACAAAATGAAGAGCCCCTCGAAATAGGAGAACCTTCAGCGCACACTCATATAACAGAAGACACAATGGCCATGTCTCCTACCAACTCTCCTTCATCACCAGTCCCCGCGAACACGTCATCTAATGGTCTTGTGACTGATGAAGTAACAATGGGAGAAGTAAACATATCGTTAGACGAATAAGACGCCACCTTTTGAAAATGGGAGCGGGAAAAACAGATACCCTCTAACAAGGTTCAACAGATTACTCTATTATGTATATATACTCAGTAAACTCTTACCTAAAATGAGGCGGATACCAGTCTGATCGGTCCCTAAGAGCGCTTGAAGAACCAACTGCATAGTATGCGGTTGGTTTTTCAAGCGCTCTTATCAATATTTCTGGGGCTGCACTTGCGTCATGCAATGAACTGTAAATATGTAGCGCCGCATCGTTTGTCACATAACGAAAGCTTAGAGCGCCAGCTCAGTGTATATTCGGC